ACTTAACACATTGCGGACAGATCACAAGAATTCTCGCTTCATATCACACAGTGTTTTACAAAGTATCACACTTTAAAAAGATATTAGCTTGTAAGAACATGTAATAACTTCAAAATGCAATGGGTATTTAATTTTTAAGCGTGCCTTTAACATTTATGTAAAACGTTTTTTGTACTCGTTCAATAGAAACTTATCTGGCCACTGGGTAAAGCTAGCAATGTGTTAAGGAAAGCTTTTCACAAGCTTCAGAAGGGTTGATTTGGTATTTCAGATACAACAGTCCTTCATTTGTCTGTGGGGCAGGGGGACGTGTCTCCTAGGGGGCCCCACAACACAGAGCAGGAGCCCGAGAGCTCCTGAAGTGAGGTGGGTGAGTAAAGCTCTCCAAGGAAACACTCTGGTCACTCCCAGGACGTGAAATGTGGTCAGGATGCCAGAATGCAGACTACTGCTCTTCACATAAGAGCCGGGGTCCCCAGACAGCCCACCGCCCTCTGCGATAGCTCAGCAGCTCCTGGCACCAGGCCCATCCCCAACATAACCACTGCCAGTTTCTTTAAGTGCCAAGCTGCTGCCCTTTGTCCCCACACCCGCACCTGCCCGCATGTCCCACCTGGCTCCTCAGCCACTCCGGTGCTCCCTCCCAGGCCTTCCTCTCACGCCTCCTCTTTCCTCTGAGCCTTCCCCATAGGCAGGCAGCCTCCTGGCCTCTGCGCCTTCCCATCCCTCCGAGATGCCTCTCCTCCAAGCGCCTGGACCTCCTAGGAGCCTGCCTTAGAGCTTCTCTGGGAAAAACGAAAGCGTCTGTTCCCTGACCTTACTAAGCCCCTTGAAGATAATGAAGCAAAGAGAAACTGAGCCCCTAGGACAGTGGTTCTCAACCTTGGCTGCACATGAGAATCACCTGGGAATCTTTTTAAAATCCTGATTTCTGGGCCTCATCCCGGAATTCCCAGGGGTTTCTAATGTGCAGCCAAGGTTGAGAACCACTGCCCTAGGAGGCCAATGATGATCACAGTAACCACACCAGCATGAGCCAGTTTCCCACGTGTGTGCGATTGTGCTAAGTGCTTTTACTAGCATTATCTCATTTATGCCTCACAACACCTTGGTGGGCAGGTACTGTTATTATTCCCATTCTACAGAAGGAAAACTAAAGGTCAGAAGCTTACGTGATATGCAAGGTCATGTGGCCCCAAAGTGAAGTCTCCAGGCCTGTCTGACAACAAAGACCGCGTCTTAACCACAGGCCCTGTTCCTCGGGGCTCCGCAGGCTCCCTCTCCTCTCATGGCAAGAAGTGTGTGTTGGGAGGGAGGGCGGAAGCTTCAAGTGCCAGGGCCCCGTCTGACGGGGAGGGGCACCTGGGCAGTGCTGAGGCTACTCCAGGCACCAGCCAGGGGACCTGTTAGATGTGGGTGTAAGTCCCTCAACTCACACCATGAGGGCACCATGCCCTGCCAGGCAAGTGATCTCATCCCTGTCCTGTCTGGGATGCCACCGGCCTGTCCCTCTAAGCCCGGGCCCCAGCATTGCCAGATCAGGGACGTATCCCAAGGCGGTCCTGCCCGCCTCTGACCCCCTGTCTGGACAGGTAGTGCTGCCGTTCCTCAGCCTCCTTCAATGCAGCCACTGCTCTCCCAGAACTGGCTCAAGGGCCCCTTTCACACCTTACCTGAGCCCTCCTCTGTGCCCCACCTGGTGGCTTACCTCCACAGCGGTGCCCTGGAAACTCAGTCCGGTTGGCCCCTCCCTCCCTCCTTTCTTCCCCTCCAGGCTCCACAGTGGGTCGCCCCTGAACTCAGTGACTTGGCTCCCCACCCTGAACCCCTCTTCTGAGCAAAGGCGTTAATCCTCCCCCTCCACCAGGGGTGTGGGGGCGTCCTTCCAGTGGCCAAGATCCTAGCCGCCCCAGCTCAGGGCACCCAGGCCTACACCCGCCCGGTTCTCTCGGCCCGCAGAACCCATCTCTAGTCACGGGCAGCAGCAGGGACCCCTCGCCTCCAGGAGCCCAGGCTCGCGACCCCCGCCGGTGGCCCCGCACCCCGGGATGTATGCCCTTGCCTTGCCGCTCAGATCCCCGCCTTCAGACCCAGGG